TGCGTGCGTGCGTGTGTGTGTGTGTGTGTGTGTGTGTGTGTGTGTGTGTGTGTGTGTGTGTGTGTGTGTGTGTGTGTGTGTGTGTGCTCGTGTGTTGGTGTGCATGTGAGTGTGCGCGTGTGTCCAACTTAGAGCGAAGTCGTAGTCGAGCATAGCAGCGTAGAAGTCAGTCGGAGTTGAGCGCTGTAGCCTAGGGTATGAAAAGTTGAAAGTCGATTGGAGGGCAAGTGTGGTGTGGGGCCATGCGTTTTTTCCCGCACCGCCTCCCAAAATCGGAAAAAGTCCGTTACGTGTGGCCGCTTGGCGCTGGCCCGGCAACGTCGACAGTACCGTTTGGGTCCAAAGGGCTAATGCCAACAAGAACAAAACTCCGGATCTAAGCCAGGGCTAATGCCAAACTGATTTGGGTCCAAAGGTCTCTTCTTGTTTGGGCCCGGTCCCACTGGGTCCCAGAGGTCCCACGTAGGCCGCGACCAGGTCCCAACCAAAAGGAGTCCCACATGGACTCAGTTCAGTTTCTACCGCACCGAAAAACGAAATTTCAACTTCCGGCAGAACCTACAGACTACAACCGTTCAGCGATGAAAAGACAAAGCACTGTAGAAAGACTCGGCATTCGGATCAAGATACTTCATTTTCCATCCATCAGGTGAGTAGGTAGATCACACACATTCAATCACACAATCAAGACCACAGAGGAGTAGGAAAAGAAACCCAGAGTAACCCCAGCAGGACAAACAACACCATGCACACACACATGGCATCCCGTAGGTGCACGACACTCACCCGAGTGGCCTTGAGCTTCGAGATGAATAGAACTCACCCCCCTCTCATGTGATCCTCCTGACCTCTCTAACGCTACCCCTACACTAGTGTCCTATCTCCTAGGAGGGTCTAACTCCAACACCCAAGTGCAACGCCGGATCCCCCGTCGATGCTGAAGAACAAAGTAGCAACTTGCATTCCGTAGATGCTGAGTGGCCGCTGACCCTCAAGCTCGCCTACTCGAGGGCAGCCCTTAAGTTGCCAAGTGTCTCCCTTGAATCAGATTCCAGGTGCGAGTGCCTCTCACTGTCGCCTCTCTCAAATTGCTGCATGAAGCCTCCTCGAAATGTCTCGCCACCCTAATCTCACTCTCAAGCAACCTGGTTACATTCAATATCGACCCTACATGACCTAACCAGGTGGGGGCAGCTTCCCTTAGCCACGCTGCCCCACTTCCCTGAACCAACCAACCCTAACCCTAAGTGTTGCCCTCAACCACTTAGGTTAGGGTTAGGGCAGCAAAGTCAACTCTCACCAGCAAGTAGAATCCGCTCTGATACCAATGTTATGATCCTGACCAATTTCGAGATACACATCCATTAGATAGTACAATGCCGTCCAGTTGCAGAAAGAAATGAATGAACTTGAGAGGAGAGAGAGGATTAGAAGAAGAAGAAGAAGTAAGAAAGAAGAAGAAGATGATGTACACCAGCATAGACCAATGACAAGGCTCTTCTTCTTCGCCCAACAATCTCCTCCTCCTTATCTCCCCCTTCTCTTATTCATACAAGAAATAATAATACAATGTTGAATGGCTGATGCAGAATCAATGTCCGAGTTCCTCACTACTGCAGGTATCACTTGAGGTGCACCATAGCCATGGCCGCCTCTACCACTCTTCACTCTCATAGGCCGGGGCTATGGCGGACTACTAGGCCTTGCCCAGATGCCCA